CTTGTGTCCAAACTAAGTATGTACCAGGCGCAGGTTGTGAGGACCTCGCCGAGTTGACTGCGGATGCCCAAGGCAGTGATCCAGTCGTCCAGAGATTTTATACTGCCCGTGCAGGACATCTCGCCGAAGTGGGCATGCAACCCTAGATTCGTGGATGATGGTAGAATTCCTTGAGGCTTCAGGACTAAATCCTGATGCGATGAGGGTGACGACTGAGCCAAGGGGCTATCCGCTAGGCTGAGGCGCCGTAATTCTCCTTGCAGTCCTTCTGCGGCATTGCTGGCCCAACCATTCCATAGGATGGGCGGAGCGCGAAAAGGATCTCCGACAGCAAATCGCAGAGCTCTTGTGACATCCCAGACAATCCGGAGCTCTGTTCAGCCACACAGCAGACAAAGAGAGGAAGCTCCAGCAGAGTACTTTCTGCGGCCCCTTAAAAGGGGTCTACAGAGGAGTTTAGGGGTTATGGGCCATACAGTATGGTGGAGTGTCTCGGGTTGGGGGTTCTTTGTAGTGGCTTTTGGGGGGCTTCACACATCCTTGACCCTACATGAAGGGGCCTCGTGGTTTTCCAGGCTCGATGCCTTGGCTTGGGCTTGGGGCTTTGACAGCCTATAACCCTCAACCCTAAACCCTGGCTTTGACAGCCTGTAACCATGGTGCACAAAGCCAGGTTCTGCGAGCTTTCCCCCTCAAGCCTGCGCCATCCTGCGCCGTTGAGCATAGCTTCCATAAGCCCGGTACCCTTCACAATCAAGCGCCTGTGAACCCTGCACCCTAAACCCCGATCCCATTCCATCATGTGGGCTCCGTGACCTCGAAACTTCATTCTTTCAATTTCAATCCAACTCACCTCTCCGCATGCTGAAACTTGTTTCGTGTTGAACACGAGACAATGGGGGCAGATGTCCAACATTGTCCAACGATGACAGCAAGAGGTTGCTGATCTGGCGCCATGCTCGTTCCGGGGCTTTTTCCTCTCGCGACAGCCAATGCATCATTTGACAGTTCGTTTCACAGAAATCTTTAAGCCGTGGCCCCCTTTGTTGCCGGACGATGAGCGAGGTCCAATGGCTGCAAGATGCGCTGCAAGTTCTTGAGCTTTCTTGGGTTTCCCTCTGATGTTTGCGTCGGTCATCTTAGCATCAGGTTTCGGGACTGCTTGGCTCTGAGTCTGACTCTGAGGGATGTCCGCACAGCATGGCTTGCAGGGGCATCATCCAAAACCGTCAGACATGACAATTGAACGCCCCACGTTTGTAGACTTCGAGGTCCGTAACCCTGGCAAGTGCAGAACATGGTCTCAATTGTAGTCTCAAGACTTTTTTTGTCCTTTTCCCCAACTCTGCAACCGGCAGGCCCTAAACTTGCGACCTAAACCCTAAACCCCCTGAGCCCCCAACACATCCTAAACCCCCTAACCGCCCCTAAACCCTAAACCCTAAACCCTAGACCCTAAACCCTAAACCAAAGAACCCTAAAACCCTAGACCCTAGACCCTAGACCCTCAACACTAAACACCCTCAACCCTAAACACCCTCAACTCCAGGCCGACGGCGGGAGTCCTTCGGAGGAGACCTCCTGCACTGCGCTGCTCGAGGAACCCTCGACGGCCCCGCAGCCCACGAAGGCGAAGCAGAACGGCAAGCAGAAGGCCAGAAGTTTGCATATGAGGGCTTTGGGGTTTAGGGTTTAGGGGTTTAGGAGTTTTGGGGTTTAGGGTTTAGGGGTTTAGGGTTTAGTGTTTAGGGGTTTAGGGTTTAGGGTTTAGTGTTTGGGCGGTTTCTTTTAAGGGGTTCTACTTCTACGGCCATCATCGGGTTTTACTCTTAGGGTTTTTTGGGACTTAGTTACAGTTGCCATCATAGAGACGGATCGTAAATATTGTCTTTGCTACGGTGACTTAAGCCAACTTCTTGAACGACGCTAGCAAGATCCTTGTTAAGGCTTTTAGGTCGTTTATCCAAGACTTGGGCCATGTCTCTAAGCACAGAAGGACTACTGCAATGTACTTTAGTGACACTCTCCAAGGGCGCCCTCACAGAGAGCATTGTAGGGTCTAGGTGCTCCAGGGTGCAGGACGTAGGGTTCAAAGCGTGTGCGATTCTGGGTTTGCACAGACTGCTCAACGATTGTAATCAGAAGGATCATGTGTAATGCCATCCCTGGTGCGCGATTGTCCCAGATGGTGTGGTCGATTTGTCTCGACTCAGGGGTTTCGGAACAAAAAGGGGGCAGCAAAGCCCCACGTTGCCCGGCAGCATTGGCATGTTAGGGTTCAGGGTTTTGGATTTCGGGTTCAGAGTTTAGGGTTGGGGTTTGGGGTCTTTTGTGGAACCTCTGCAAGCTCTCATCCTGCAGAATCTCTAGAGCTTCCAGAATTAATTCGGGTTCCCGGAGTCTTCGGTTGTTTTCAGAAAGTCTTGTACTCCCCCCCGAACCCAAACCCGTAAAATCCCTAACCCTAGAACCTAAATTGGCTCTAAATCCTGCTATGTTTCTTCTGAACTCATCAGTGCGAAATTCGGAATTCCTCAGTCCGGAAACAAGAGCTGCGGCGGCCACTAGCTCTTGAACGCTAGCAGGGTACTAGTCAAGAGTGTTCCTTGGAGTTCCGAAAATTTTTTCGTCATGATGTTTTTATATGCCCCATATCCCCCATATCCAGGCCCCTCTATCACCCTAAACCTTAAACCCTAAACCCTAAACCATATCAAGGCCCCCAAAAGCAGACCGCAAGATCCTGCAACTCAACCCTGGTTTGCCAAGCAGCTGCGTGAAGCTTGAATTTGCCCCAGCCCCCGATACATTCATGAGAGTTTCGCCCTGTTGTTGTTGTTGTTGCTGCTGCTGCTGCTGCTGCTGGATGCTGAGCTACGTCGCATGGCAAATTCTCTTGGCGAGTGCACACCGTCTGCGACATTGCACAGAGGCAGCCGAAGTGGACACGGAAGCAAAGGAGCTTCCGGCGGCTGCGGTGGTGACAGCAGCAGACGCAGTGCCTGCTGAGGCACATGCCCTTGCTCACATTGTTCATAAAGATGTCCCCCATCACTCTGCTGGCAGGCAGCGAGCACATCGGAAGCAGCTGCCCCTGTCAAGGGGGCGATTGCCGGGGCCCTCGGCACTGGCCCAGTTACCTGCATGAAGTTTGGGCTTTATTTGGTTGCAGATTCAACGTTTGCGGCCTATGAGGACCTCTTTCATGTGCACTCCCTTTGCTGCAAGCCGCCGCTTTCAACCCGCATCCTTTGCAGGCACCATCCCCAGCCAAGGGCAAAGCCAAGGGCTCCGCCGCGGGTGCTGGAAAGGCCCTGCCTGCCGCTAGTCGAACGTTGTTGGAGGTTCCTTGCGCATGTCTTGGAACGAGGTCTAGGTGAGTCTTCTAGTCAGCTGAAGAATTCGACTTCGGTGCAGGAAGTTCGGTTGTTGTGTTTCCACTTTTTTAGCTGAGGCTAGCGTGTCTGTTCCGATTTTTTTGGGTTTGCGATGTGAAGCTCGGGTGATCCCTAGGAGCCCAAACCCGGGGAACAGCAACATCACAGAAACCAGAACAACTTTTTTGCTCTAAAGCCCGATAGGTGGCGGCAGCCGACGCGGAGGAGACGGAGCAGACAAGAGAGGATGTGACTCTGACTGCTTTGAAGGGGTTCAAGAACCAGGTGAGTTTCTTGAAGTTCGGCTTAGGGCTTTAAGGCTTAGGAGTCGGCGTTTAGGGATTGCTCGTCTCTGACCTGTGTAATCTGTGGGCTTCGAGCTTTGTCTCAGATGGATCTTGCGAAGGAGCTCGCATTTAGAACAACTCCCAGGTGAGTACGAGTGCTGGGGGCGACGAGGGCAAAAAAGGGGACTTCTCGGTGGAAGCTGGCGACCTGGACCAGGTGTCTGGGAGGAATTCAGGGGGTCCCAAAAAGCTTACGTTTGATAACACTGATAGGGCATCATAGCTGCATAGCTGCCATACGCATAGTACTCTTTAGGAGATGAACCATCACCTGTGACGGGCATACCAATCTCTGGCATCTTCGAAACGAGGGCGGTTTTCCAGGGTCTTTTTGGCGAGCAAGACCCTTAGTACCAGGCCTTGGTCCAGGGTTTTCGGAAGTTTTAGGGTCTAGCACTTGGAAATTGGAAAGGTCAGAGCCTTACAGCAGCATCTTACAACCCTGCACCCTCAACCCCGCTACTCTCAGTTTTTCGTTCAGCCCTCACCCACTATGGCAGTTTCCCTTCTGGTTTTTGCAGTTTGCGATGTGAAGCCCGGGTGATCCCTGGGAACCCAAACCCGGGGAACAGCAACATCACGGAAACCAGAACAACCCTAAAGCCCTAAAGCCCGAGAGGTGGCGGCAGCAGACGCGGAGGAGACGGAGCAGACAAGAGAGGATGTGACTCTGACTGCTCAGAGGGGGTTCAAGAACCAGGTGAGATTCTTGAAGTTCGGCTTAAGGAGCCAGGTGGGTTGAACTTATGTGTTAGTTGTTCTGTGTATTCTGTGCACCTGTGTCTAAGATGGGCCTTGCAAAGGAGCTGGCATTTAGAACAACTCCCAGGTGCGTACGAGTGCTGAGGGCGACAAGGACAAAAAAGAGGACAGCTTGGTGGAAGCTGCCCGAGATGGCAAGCTCAACAAGGTGACTTGGAGGAATTCAGGGATCGGTGCAAAAGGTTTTGCTTTACATGCGTTTGTCCTCAGAGAGATATCGAAGGTGAAGGAGCTCTTGGCCTACGGTTGCGACCCATGTGCCTGGGTGAGTGGTCACGAGACTTTCGCAAACAGAGCGCTTGCTGCCGATGGCAAAAGCCGGGGTTTCATCCCCAGGACAAGGGCTGCCGATGGCAAAAGTTCGGGAACCAGGCCCCTCATTGCAGCGGCCGTCTCAGGGCACAGCCATGTTGTGTGGGAGCTCTTGCAGTCCAGAGCTGACCTGAATGACAGAGACTCCGATGGACTCACAGCGCTCTCGGCAGCTTTCTGCTCGCCGAGTTGCGACATCCACATGTGGTTTCTCCTGCATCACGCAGTGGATCAGGAGCGACAGAAGCTCTCTCAAAGCTCGGGTGCTCAAGCAGACATCCGAAATGACGATGAGCGGACCTTGCACAAGCTCCAGAACACTCAAGCAGACATCAGGGAAGACCAGAGCCGCAAGCAGAGTTCGGACGCTCGAGAGGATTTCGGGGAGGAGGAGAAGCGGACCTTACACATGGATTCGAACGCTGAAGCAGACTTCAGGGAGGATTATTTTTTGCGCAGCCTCTGTGACGGGAACATGAATGCAAAAACGATGGCAGACATCCGGGCGGACAAGGAGCGGACCCTGCGCATGCTTGTTACACTGCTGCGTGGAGAGGGGCAGATCTTCACGGAAATGGTTGCAGGCTTGCTGAAAGAGGCCGGCTCGCTTTTGAACAAACTGGTAACCTTGGCATGTTAAGACCAGGCTCACATAAGAGAGAGCACTTGGGAGGAATAGAACATGTGTGAGAGAAAAAGAACAGACAGAGCGGCGAAAGGAAAGTTAGTCAAGATAATGAGAGAATGAGTAGCGGAAACAACCATAAACAGTCACGAAGTGAAGCTCAACAGAAGCAGGTGGCAGTTAGCAAACTTGTCACTTGCCATGGTCGGTCAGCATTGCCCGTAAACTAAGTACAGAGAAGCGTCATGGAGCCAATGACAGCACTGGCCTGACATGGCATGCCTAAAAGAGCGATGCAGTTTGGTCGAAATTTGTCAGGTTGAACCCGGCCGCTACCGCTCAGAGAGATTGAAGGAGCGGATGCGCACAGTCCTTTGCGACTATGCGCGGGACAGGGAGGAGGTACTAAGTATGCAGTCAGTCTGTCAATACCTACGGCCACGCACTTCCAGTTTCCTAGTTTCGTTATGCGTAGCCATCTTGCACCGGACACTGAGGTGCAGAATTTTCTTCTTGAGGATCGTGGGAGGTCCGATCGTCGAAAGTCCATGTATGTCTTTGCAGACGATCGTGCCAAGAAGCCGGAAGATGTCGATGCATTCAACCTGAGCCGGCACAATATGCTCTATGCCGCGGAAGTACAAGTGTCCTTGCGAAGCCTGCCAATCGCAGCACCTCTGGCATGCGAGCCGTCGGTGCTTGCGGCACTGGCAGAGACCGCTAACGAGGACACCCTACAAACAGATGCTGTGGAAGCCATCACCGCAGCGGCGTGGCTTCAGATGCGAGTGGCCACCGCGGTCGACAATTTCCTGAACTGCGTGGCTTTGGGATGTTTGTGTTTGGTGACTTGGGCGTGTCGCAAAGAAGACATGGATGCCCAGCCCATGCCCCAGCGGTTTGCCTTGAGTTGAGAGCCGCCCATGATACTTGAATTCCAAGTGCAGACCTTGTCTCATCAAGCAGAGACTGAAAACAAGGGTTCTGGTCATGCTGCAAGGGTCCAGTCATCTGCCCAGCACCCAAAAACCTTAAACGAGGCCGGCACTATGGGTCCTGGCAATCATACAGTTCAAAGAGGCTGTGGAGTTGCTCTGGCAGCTTGTTGTCTACTGCTGGAGCCATGTGTCCCGCAGACGCAACAGACACAATAACACCCAAAGCAGGGGGTGTCTCGTGTGTTTGAGAAAAGTTTTACCGTGTTATCTTTGGAGGATGATGGAGCCAGAGGGCTCTTGATGTTGACTATTGAATATGTCAAATCGTTGAATATGTCTTGGCAATTTCAGGCATGTGGACCGCATGAATGGAAAGGAAATGAAGCTGCTGGGTGATGCCGATGTCTCCTTTGTGCAGCCTGCGCCCAGCTTGGAAACTCTCTTCGATTTCTTCTTCTTGGTGGCCGGCCCCTGGGTTCTTGTTGAGGAACCTAATCCTAGTTAGTTACCAGAAGAAGAAAGCATGTTGTTTCATCTAATTTTTTGGGTAGGGACATAATTCAAGTTCGTTAGAAGCAGCCAGATTGAAAACTCTCTGATTCTATTGGGGTGCCGTAAATGGGTTTCATCAGCAACATCCAGGTTGCTTCGCGATCTACGGTCAGATGGAGCGCTGCAGCGGTGGCGAGTTGGAGCCGATCTTCTTGCCAGGCTTCTGTTCGATGTACTGGCTCCGACTCATGCACCTGGAGCCGTTTAGGGTTCAGGGTTTAGGGTTCCTACTTGTTAAGTGCTTAGATTCTAGGGCCTACAGACCAGTTTGTTAAGAGGACATGTGATCATGTCGCACTTGGGAAGCTTAACGTTGTACGTTTTTGAAGTGCAGGTACAGCCTTCGTGGAGAGCGGTGGCTGGGGCCCTACCTCCTACCCATTCTGTCAGCCGTACGAGACACCGGGGCGTTCTTCTTCGTCACCTCCCTTTGTGTGGCAAGCGCGACCCATGCCTACGTGATCATGAATCCCCGAGGCGAAGTAAGGAACAGTCTTCAAGTTTGAGGGCATGGTATGATAAGGTCATATAGGGCCCAATGCATTTTGAATCAGTAAAGGATGTAGCCCGAAAGCCCGTGTCCCGAGGCGAGGACGAGTACCCCATATACTCTTCGTTCCTGCAGACGGTTCGATTGGCCATCTTCGGGGACTTTGACCTCTTTGAATACCAGGGCCAGGACACCACCTTTCAGCTTGTGGACGACGAGTGGGCGCCGAATGACCCCAACCCGAAAGATGTGGGGGGAGAGCACTCGATCAGCCCCTACAGGCCTTACATCTACCTGCAGCTGTGCTTCTTTGGCACGGGGATCGGCATTACGGTGCTGCTCATGAACCTGCTACTTTGATGCTGGGTAGGCAACCTTTAACCCCCTTGTTTACAAGCAAATCTTTGGTAACACAAACCCAGCTCAGGTTAGCCACATACCTTTGCACAGCAAGCGCACAAGCAAGGCTGAACCGTACAGGCAGCGCCCAAGTCCCCACAACCCGACTCCTGAAAACTTAAGATCCTCAGCCCCACATCCCCGAAACCCCGAACTCAGCAAGTGAGGCTGATTGCCATCCTAAGCCAGAACTACGAGATGCAACAGGGCCGGGCACAAGGGCTCTTTGTTCAGGCCCGCGCGCGTATGCTGCTGGAGGTGGGAGGTGGGTTTAAGCTGCGGGGTTTCAAGGTTTGGTGCAAGTGTAATTTCATTCTGGCTAAGCGACCTCACTTCCAGATATGATGTCTCACACTGCTATTTTGTTGTCACGTTTCTTGTAGGGGGTCTGGTCTGGGTTTCCTATCTCCACACAGCACTTTCTCCGATGCTTCATTGAACGATGGCCAAGCACTTCGGCTTGTTCATCTATCGATCTCCATCTTCACTAGACTGTCTTCAACTTGGTATCCGCGCTGCTGGAAGTTAATGCCTCCAAAGACGTGGGCCGGGAAGCTGCCACATTTCACTTCAGATACGGATGTAACGTATATTGTGGACTCACGGCCAGGTGTGTTTCTGAGTTACTTGTAGGAGACCGATGCGCGGTTTTCGTCATGTCAAGTGTGCCTGCTGACCGCTAAGGCTAGATTTGCTGCTTTTAATTTTAAAGCCTGTGTCTCCGTGTGGGATCCGCGGAGTACAGAAAATTCGCCAGGGGCTGTGGTGCCTTAAGGTCAAACTCCTGTCAAGATCTTTGATGACCCCAAGAGCAAGAAAAGCAATAATCAAATCCCTATAACAAAGGTTGATATTTATGTTATGCTCATTCCCTAAACCCTAAACCCTAGACCCTTTTCATTTTCAAGAAAGTCCCTTCCAGGTTCAGCTCCGGCCGTGGACGAGGGTGGGCGCCTGGCTCGGTGGCAAGCTCTTCGACCCCGAAGTAAAAGGGCCTCCGCCCCTTTGCTTGCACCTTGTGACGCTGGCAGAGATCGCATTGCGCCCTCTCAAAGTGGTTATGGAGCCTTTTGTCCCTGGGGCGTATTACCAGAAGAATGTCTTCGAACGATTCTTGCAGCGGGCTCTCTGGAGCCCTGTCGCGAAACATAACTTCTTGGCCGTTGGCATTCCTGCAGCTTGCCCAGCCAACGGGAAAACCCTAATTCTTCTTGGGTTTTTGGCTTGGTCTACATTCTACAGCTTGAGTTTTTTGGGTTGGTTATGGAAGAAAAAAGGTAGCGTGCGTGGTGCTGTTGGCCGGGTCTCTGGTGAGCCTGCTGGCTTTTGCGGTCATCATCCTGGTGCTGAAACTCGTGGGTTTTCGACTCGCAGGCTCCGGCAGTCGGAACAGCCGAGAGTTTCAGAATTCAGAAACGTCAGTGTCCCTGACTTGGGAATGATTCCAGTAAGATGTTTCCTGGGTCCTTAGGTTCTATTACTCGAGGACACCTCTGAGGGATGGAACAACCGGACACCCCCAATCCACAAACCGTTCAACCGTGTAAACCCATTCAAACGCACCTTGCAAACTATTTGTTTGTAGAGCTCACTGAGAGCCTAAACCCTAAACCCTGAACCCTAAACCCTAAAGGCCCTGAACCCTAAACCCTTGAAGGCATCCGCTACACGCTCAACCTCAGCCTGTTCGGCCTCTTTGGTGATCGCTTTGCCGAGGAGTGTGAGATTTTTGCGCTGGTCCGGACGGACGCTACACCGCAACTATCGGGGATTTAGGGCTCAGCTATATAACCTCTGAACCGTGACAACGATCCGAAGCCTTCTCCCCAAGCTGTACATTCAGATACATCGCGAGTTTCAATTTTAAGCGGTGATGCGTCTTCCTGAACCGCAAACACCATATGACATCGATTCCTGAGTCTCTACATCCTAGACCCAAAATCCCGAGTTACCTGAAACCCCAAACCCCAAGTCCTACACCCTTAACCCAAACCGTGAACCCTAAACCTTTAACCTAAACCCTAAACCCTAAACCCTAAACGCTGAGCCCGGTCGTTCAATCAAGAACCTCAAAAGGCTCCATGCAGTGATTCGATCGGACTTTCGCTCTGAGTTTCGGGGGTATCAGGTGTTCAGGATGTTTGGGGTTCATACGCCAACAAATGCGTAAAGCGTTAAACCAAAAACGGCAGAACCTTTACGTAGTTAAGCTCAAAGTCAGAACCGAAACGGCTAGGAAGCCTCTAGAACCACAGAGTGTCATCTTCTCTAATCCTTCCGTTCCCATCGGCCTGGAAGGAAGCCGCTTCGGACGATTTTCGAAGCATGCGAAGTGACCTAAAGGACCTCAGCAAGATTGTTGTGATAGTGATAGAAGATAGTTTGTGATGGTTGTTGCTGCTTCTCGGCCCGGAAAAAGGAGGGCTTCGGGCATGTCTTGGGTCAGTATCTTGCAGTAAGTATGATGTCGCAAATCATTCTGGACACCGAATCTTGTGCAACAATGTCGATGCATGACAGAGTCTGCATTCCTGGTCGCCTGCCTTGAATCGTGTCCGTACCGTATGCCTGGGTGTGGATCTTGCAGGATTCCTACGAACTCTCAAACTCGGGTGTCGTCAGGGCTTGCTTGGGGCTTCTTTGGGAAAGGGTTTAGGGTTTAGGGCCTAGGGCTTAGGGTTTAGGATTTAGGGTTTAGGGTTTAGGGAGGCCCCGGAGGATCGAATTTGAGCATGAGGCCCTGAGTCCCATGAGGGCGATACGCTGTATTCACCGGTGTGAGTAGTCGAGCTCTGCGAGAGCCCTAAACCCTAAACGCTGAACCACGGGTCACTGCACCCCCAAATTCCCGATGCCACGCCAAGCCCCTCAACTGCCTCAGCTCGTGCTTTGCTAGATGATGCCTGAACCCCAGACCGGACACTCGAAATCCGCCGCGAGTTCTTGAGCGGAATCTCTTCCAATCTCTTCCAGTGTGGAAGAGGACAAGATGCAAAATCTGGAAGGGAAATTGAAGGAGCAGCACGAGGAGCAGAAGGACCGTCTTTGGAGTCTTGCATTTTCCTTCTGAAGCTTCCGGGGTTGCGGCTGAGAATCTGCGAGAATCATGGTGGAACTTTCGGAAGGTAAACAGGGCTTTTAGGGTTTTAGGGTTTAAGGTTTCGGGTTTGGGTTGCAGGATTCAGAGTTTGGGGCGTGTCTTCTTTTCAAGCTGGACCTGCGGTCTGAAACTCGGTATCCGTGTGGCAGAGGACAAGATGCGAATGATCGAAGAGGAGTTGAAGGACCGGCCTTTTTGTTTGCTTGCTGGGGATTTGAAGTTTACTCGCTCAGGGAGCAGGGACACTTCTTCGGTTCAACAGCGTTGCGCTGCGGGGATTCATGGTCTCTGAGGCCCCTCAGCCCTTGACCCTTAACCATTTAGGTGTTCAAGCGCCGACATGCCAGCGGTGCAGGCGAGGATGAGTAACGTGGACGACAAGATCGACCGAGTGCTTCAGCATCTATCGAAGGTCACTCGACGTGGATCTGATTTGAAGCTGAGTCTGAACAACAACTCCTCGCTTGTGTAACATCGGAGGTTCGGGCATTTAAAGTTAAGGTGTTTGAGGTCTGTTTTGTGGATACAGCTGCAAGGTGAACATCGTCGGAGGAAGATGCTCCAAGCACCGGAAATACCATCTGATCCCTCTGTTGAGTCCCAAAAGCAGAAACCCCTGAAGAAAAGGAGGGATGAAGCGGAAAAAAGACAGAAGCATGAGAACGTCAACAAAGCGAAGACTGCAAGTCCAGATGGTAGGGGGGATAATGGACGAGAAGGGGTGGAGGCTGCTGAGGACAAAGATGGAATACACCCGCTTACAAAATGAGGATGGAGGGATAAGGAAGGGGGGATGTGGGGGTGGGGGGGAAAGGGATATGGGCGGATGGCTTGACCTTGCACTTTCGGTGTTGTTTTGAATTTTTGTCTGGGCGGGAGTAGGGGGCCGGGAGGGGCGGGAGGGGGAGATCCGACCGGAGACTGCTTTCTTAATGCCTTTCTAAGTCTGGGACAGATGCGATGGATGTCTGGGACAGATGTGATGGATGTCGACATCACCTGAAGGCAGATGTATAAGTCTTAAGAGGTTAGCATGCTACCGGGATATTGGATTTGAGGGAAAGGTTTTCGGCATCCGGAGCTTCTTACCTTTAGTCTCAAACCGTTGAAGCCTGACTGCGAGATTCAGGCAGAGTTGGCTCCCAAATCCGGAGCATGCTTAACACTGTACAGGGCTTTCCTAGGGATCCTAAACCCTAAACTCTACTTGCTCGGTTTACGGGCCCTACCTGCGCCCCGGGGCGTTACCCCCAGCCGAAGAAAAGCAACACCACCCAAACCCCCTAACCCCCGTAACGCCTAAACCCTAACCCCTTAAACCGCCCTAAACCCCAAACCCCAAACCCGTAAACCCTAAATCCGTAAACCCTAAACCCGAAGCCCTAATCCCGGCTTTCCACAGAAGGGTTTCTTCCAGTGTCGCAGGCCTCGGCGGATGCGACGGGCGCGAGGTGAAGGCCCATTCCGCTGGATGTTGCCAGGAACAGGAACAGTAGAGTTTAGGGTTTAAATTTAGTGTTTAGGGTTTGGGGGTTGAGGGTTTTGGGTTTGGGGTTAGGGGTTTAGGGTTTAGGGTGTAGGGTTTAGGGGGTTAGGGTTTAAGGTTTAGGGTTTAGGGGTTTAGGGTTTAGGGGTTTAGGGTTTAGGGGTTTAGGGTTTAGGGTTTAGGGTTTAGGGTAGGCAGCGGCGGCAGGGTTTAGGATTTGAGCGTAAGGTGAAGGATTACTGCTTATGCTTACTGCTTACTAACAGTTCGGACAGCAGCGCGAGCAACACAACAGAGTATTGCATTAGTCGCAATTCTAGCATAGTGCCGGCTGGGACTGGCACTAGCAGTCAGAATGGTCACCATAGCTGTGAGTATCGTAGTAACACACCAAAGTGTTGCGCTCTGCGAAGTAATTTGTCTCAGCGGCAACATCGAGCAAGGCCTTAATGGAAGGTTTTTGTGGGGGCTTGAGAACCCTAGGCGCTCAAACGGAAGCCTAATCCAGTTGAGTATTCCCGGATATCAAAACCGCGACAAACCATGAACCCGAAACCCTAAACCCTAAACCCTAAACCCCTTAGACGCAAGTCATCTCAAGAGTGAACAGTCGTTGGCTTCCGTTTTGCGACCTGCAAATCCGATTCATTCTCAAAGAGAGCACGTTGTTTGGGTGTTGAGTTGATGCCTAAGGAGGCCTCAACCCGATATCCTGAACCAGGGGCAGTGCTGTCAAGTTTTGGCAGTGGTCTAGTTGTCAAGGCGAAGCATGTGTTGATTTTGTACTGCCCTTGTGGAACGTGTGTGGATGGTTGTCCCTTCTGGGTGCACAGGGGCGATGCCCGGAAACCCCAAGCCTTGGAGCCCGAACCCTTAACCCTTCACCCTAAGCCTGAATCCGACATCCATAAATCTTAGACCCGGAAGCCCAAGCAGCTCAAAGCCATCGAGAACCCTAAACCCTAAACCCTAAACCGAACCCCTGAACTTTGCATCTTGAAGCCTCGACCCTAGGCTTCTGGACACCCATGCAGTAGATCCTAAATCTCGCGGATGCTCATAGCAAGGACCCCTGCAGACAGGGGATTCTTGAGACTAGGAAAATTCCATATCAGTCGCATGGAGCGCTTCTTAACCCTAAACCCTAAACCCCGAACCCTAAACCCGAACCCTAAACCCTGAGCCCTAAACCCTTGAAAACCCCATAACAGAACATCAAAGGTTCCTGTGCGATCGTAGGGTTCTGGCCGATCTTCGTCCGTTGAAGGATGCAGACAACGAAGGATCTGCTGGCACTTCAAGTAGTAGTGTAGAAATGCCGACGACGTTTGTGAACGTGTGGTCATACAAAGCATGGAGACGTGTACTACTGTGCATATGTATGTATGTATGTATGTATGTATATTTTTGTATGTTTGTATGTATGTATGTATGTATGTATGTATGTATGTATGTATGTATGTATGTATATTTTTGTATGTATGTATGTATGTATGTATGTATGTATGTATGTATGTATATTTTTGTATGT